CAGCGCCACACCAGCCTCCTGCCACTTACCCTTCAAGACAGCCAAGTCCTCGTAGAACTGATCGATGTTCTCAGACTCTAAGGCCTCGCCATCAATTGCCTGAGATCCCGGATGTTGTGAGAGAGACTCTTGACACGGTGGGGTCTAGTGAGGTCTAAATGGTCTGGTGGGGGCTGGGTTATTTGCCAGACTGAGTTGCTAGATAGTATGCACAGGCGACTGATAGCAACATCCCACGTGCAGTCTTCTCAAAGCTGAAATGGGCAACATCTTGTTTGGCACCATTCATCCACAAAGTCAACCCAGCTGTGAACCTGGTCCAGTATGGGTTGAGAGAGAAGAACTCCGTGCCGCCAAAAGCTTTCCTTGCCGCCGGCTTCAGCTCATCATAGTCAGCCTTGTAATCCAAGTTGTTGGACTGGAGCCACTCAATGATGGACTCCTGCTCGGCAATGTGCGTGGTCTCATCAATCTCTTTCGGCTCCTTTTTCTTGCCACCCTTGGACTGACGGCTCGTTCGAGCTGACTTGCAGTCTTCTTTGGGCTCACTCTTGGTCTTGCGCTTGCGCTTTGGCTGGGAACTTTTGGGCGCCTCCACTTCTTCTTCTTCGTTCACCTTATCCCGTTTTGATGGTGATGCTGCCTTTGTCATGGATCGTAGTTTTTCCAACTTACTCTTCCTCGTCTTGGGCTTTGTCTTGAGGGAGGCAGCTTCTTCACCATCACCATTGGCCCCCTCTTCAAGACGTTTCTTTGAGGTCTTCTTGGCACTTTTGTCATGTTTGGGACCCTTACTCTTGCCACTCTTGCTCTTGCCCTTGCCACCCTTTTCAGTCTTCGCACCCTTTGTCTTGGTAGCCTTCTTGGCCTTACCTTTGGCTTTAGGCTTGGCATCACCGTTGGATTCCGCTTGGCTATTCTTCTTTCGGCCCTTGCCCTTTCCCTTCTTTTCCTTGTTGGCATCCTTCTTCGCACCTCGAAGTGCAAGTTGGTCTCGGCGACAGAATACCTGTCAGCTGGCTGACGGACCCACCTATTAGACCTATTCCGGTTCTTTAGCCCCATGTATGAACTAAGGGTTACACTTGGCGTTTTTTTAAGCGCATAGCACGTGCTGTTATGTTATATATTGGATCAAAGGTTGTCGTGAGAAAAGGGTAAATTACATATGTTTCGATTGCAACTGGAATCAACTAGTTTGGAACACCCTACCTGAGATGGTGCTTCGTGCTTAGTAGGAGCGCCAGCAGTGGGCTTTTCTGGAAGGGGATGGCCACCATCAGCAAGTGCTTGCTGCGGCATCTCTCGAGTAGATGATGCACCCTGACCAAGCGCTGGGTCTTGCGAGTCCGAATCTTCTGATATGGCCACAACCTCCTCATGTTTCTTCTGGTAAGCTGCCCGCTTGGAATCTGGGCTGACTGAATCAGCATGATCACCCAGCGGAGGAGGGACGACGGCTTGGACTTGAGCGGATGCCAAAGCAGCTTCCGCCGAGTGCGGAGGCTGGGTCTCGACATTGTCACTGCAGCCAAAGATAGGGGTAGACATTCCTGGCGCGCTTCAGTTCAACCCTGCAGACCTTTACATTAAATTAATTTGGGATAGTTGCAGCAAAGTGAGGCAGCTAGATCCGGAACTGACATGCTGTATACAGCGTTTTGGCAATGGTTCCACTAAATAATTATGAACTTAACTCCATTGCAATCTTCAGTGAACAAACATCTTATAGGTGAATGCATTTTGCGATGCTGAGATCACCAACAAGGGTCGATCGATGATAGCTGAAACCCAAATAAACTAATTGATGTTTAAACATGTTTACACCAACAAATGTCATGCTCTTTCAAAAAAATACATTAACTGTGCGCAAAATCCAAGAGGTTCGGAAATCGCTGCAGTCAAGAGTACAGAGAAACAGAGAATGATCTAGACTATAACAGGGTAGGATGAGAATCTGCAGCTTGGGTCAACCCCTCATGGCTTGGGTCAACGCCAGCCTCGTTGGAGAGCAGGCGTCTGCGACTTTTGCATCATCTCATTCTTTTTCTGCTGGATCCTAAGTGAACAGGATGGCCACAAGACCCAGAGGAAGTCCAATTGAGGGCTTGGGGTTGCTCGGGGTTGGGCTGGGAGGACACACCAGCATGTCTTGATTAAGTACTACGTGCATCCTGTAGTGCAGTTGCATGTGTACCAGACCAAACTCCTAAGTGAACAATACATACATCCTCATCCTTTTCACCATCACAGAGAGTGGAGGCTTTGACACCAACCTTTCTTTCATGCAGACAAAGCGTCGCCAGAAGTTGAGCTTTCTTGGCCTCCAACATCTTCAGAATGTCTTGCCCGGTCATCGGCGCAACAGGTCCTGGAGATTCATAGATGTTGCTAAAAGGGAAACACATATATTGGAATGACATGGAATGACGCTACACCTATGTGGGCCCAGCTCCATTCTACATAAACATTGGGTCTTCAACGGGGTGTTCAACTATATAACCGGTTCATATGGCCCTGATTACATTGAACCTGGTCAAACAACCATACTTGAAGATCCGCTCCTGAAGCTTCAGGCGGTGTTGGCTTTGCTTCTGGATGAGCAGCCGTGACAGGAGCCACTGGGTCACTGGCAGGACTTCCGGAAGCCTCATCACCCTCCACAAAGGATTTTTGCTGGGGAGTGGGGATCCCGGTAGGAATTCCTGGCTTTGCCGTCTTGTTTGCTTCCACTTCCATGGAAGCAGTGGGCTCAGCACTGGCCGCCGGGTCATCCTCTTTTGTAGGCGTAGGTGGAACGTCTTCCTGCAGGCCCACATCATTGTCGATGGATTGGTGGCTTTGGAAGCCAACATGTTTTCCACTCCAAACGCATACTCTCTATCAACATGCATTCGTAGTCCAATGGGTGTTGGAAACATTTGAGTGTATTATTAAGCTAGGGAGGCCCCCCAAAGACCGCCTGGAAGAAGTACACGTGAAATAGACCAAAACCTTGGTTGGCGGTCTCCCGATCAAAAACACACCTATTTGGGAGTACAGTTGCGTTGTAATTGAATTGCACCCTTTAGTCCTCCTCATCCTTCAACTCTGGCTCCGCGTCGGCTTTTCCCGCGGCACGACGATCGTTGATGTTGTCAACCAGCTTCTGGCCACGGCGAAGAAGGGTCTAGTTTTTTTAATGATTGGGCAGGTACTGAAGCTACTAGTAGGCTATGAAGATCGATTGTTGAATTCTCACCAGTATAAAATACATCTCAAAATATCTCAAAGCTTTTGTTGGGGTTTGGGGAAAGCTGCGTGGTTTAGACACGAGCCAGCCTGCAAATCAGGGTCCAGAATCAGGCACAAGGATTGAAAGGTGGGATCCTGATGGTGGCAAATTCGATCAAAGTTCAAACAGTGAGCCACCCAAAAAACATAGACTTTGAAATATGAGTAAGCCTTGCCATTGACTCACATCAAGGCACCGTGCTTGGTTCTTCACGTTGGGTCTTCCTCTTCACAAAGAACATCATTTCCCGAAGCGCCCAAGCGTCATCATCAACTTCGCTGTCAGTGACCTGACGTGAATGTTTGGCATACGTAGCCTGAACAGCATCACGCAACTCATCAATCTCAGCAATGCGGGCACCCTTGGCCACTTGCGCTAAGATGGGTATCAAGACATCGCAGTTGCTTGTGCACGTAGGGATCTTCACTGAAGACTTCCTGTCCATGACCGTCAGGTGCCCTCCTTCTCGCAGCCGATCTCGGATAGCTTCTGAGCTGTCCCACTCGCCTGCGAGAGTGCTGCAATCCACGTAGGTGCTTGACATGGCCACCAACCACCGCAGTTCCAGGGTATGAGCAAAATGGGCTGCCTTAAATTGACATGACGGTGGGATAATAGTAGTGATGCAAGTCTAAACTTTGTCGTTCACCCCATTCATATGTATGAATTTCCCCAACGTCATCAGCGCCGTCTCCAGGAGCCCTTGCTGAGAATCCCGACTTGTGCCTTCTGGCATTGCGCAGCGCCAAAAAGGGCTCAAGGTCTTTGAGCCCCCGGTGCTGCTGGGGGGCAGCGTTGGGATGTGGAAAATCCAGGGGGAACTTAATAAACAACCGTTGAGATGTGGAAGATGACCAAACTCTTCAAAATGCAATTCCAATACCATGAAAATTCATGAGTTGATTCCAGAAAAGTTGTGTTTACAAGAAAAACCTGGTTTTTCATACAACATCCAGGTTATCTCATCCTACCCTGGTGATACCCAGGTTCTTCGAACATCTCCCGAAAATTTTTGGGATATGAGCTCTCAAGGCCTATATACCTAGACCATTAATTAAAAGAAGGGTTGAGCTGGTGGTGTAGGGTAAAAATCCTTATAGTAAAACAATGGTTCTTTGGGATTCAGACCATTAAAACACTGGTTGGACCAAGCATGACCAAGCAAGCCTGACGCGTGTTCGCCGCGCCTTCGCCCACGAACATCAACCTATAGGTAGAGGGTTTTTGTCGCCCATATATGATATATATGCCACAGACCAGGGTCCTAGCAACAGAGGTTGAAAGACCTGAACGTTCGGACACTGGTCTGTGGTACATATGGGATGGGCGATACCTAGGGCTGAAACCTACCTCTCTTGGTAGAACCCTGGTCTCTCAGTCTCTTGGAAGGTGAACTGGAACCGATCTTTGTTTCAAACATCGGTTCCACCGAGTCACTCGTCACATCGGTGCCGCCGGGTGAGTGGAAACAGCCATGAAACGAAGGGCTGGCCACGAAGGGCTGGCTCGACAATGCTCGACATGCCCACGTTTCGTGGTTTTAGTGGCAACACATAGCTCCCCACATCACCCAAAAGCGGGTGGGACAGGCCATCCAGGGCTCCACCCAGCTTGACAGGGCTCCCTCGATCAACTGTCCCTTCCTTTTCGGTCACGAGCACTTGGGCGCCACTTCCCCCACCGCCCCGGCACCGCGCGCAGTGCGGCGCCCTCATCGCCGGGCGTCGTTCTTGCAGTGATGGAGCTGGATCACCACCATGCGACCGTACCTGGCCGAGAGAAGGACGGGGCCCCCCCAACAGGCGACCAGTCTGGGCTGATCTAAGACATTCAATCATGGCGTGAAGCCAACCAACCAAATCCATCAAACAACTAAGTAACTAACCAACCACCTCCAGATCCAAGCAATGGATGGGCTATGCCAAGGTCGTCTGGTTTCATGGGTATGTCCTTGTGTTTATTCCTGCAGTGGGTCAGTGCAAGGATTGTGAAGCAGTCCTCGGATGCTGCCTATTCCAAGACCGTTTTCGGGAGCACGTGGAGCTCCAGCGCCCCCGAGAGGGTGAAGCAGGGTTGATCTATCCCTCTCTACAGGTCAGACACCGACCTCATGCACCACTGGAACATGCAAATCCAGTACAGTAACTTCATGAGGTCGGTCGGACCAGGTGAACAACGCCAGGCACCCGGACTTGGGTCAGGTATGTTGATCTACCAGGATCTACTCTCCCTGGAATTAACATGGAAGTAGAGTTCACCACCTGTTTGGTTCGTGGATTTCATGGTCTTCCGAACTCGGGGCCATTCTCCACGTAATTAACCATGTTAGTTCCAGGATCTATACCAGTTATATATATTTCATGCTGCGCAGCGGCCGCCAGAGAGCACCTGGCAGGCCGTGGATCCGCCACCCGCCCTGATCCTCCCATCTGCACCACTCTACCTCTCCCGGGGCTCCGGACGCGTGCGCGGTGCGCTGGGCTTCCGGATAGGCAGCGATGATGTCGCTGGCCACCTTGGATGTCCAGCCGGGAAGAAATGACCCAAATTCGGCAAGGAGGTTCACCCAGTCAGGGAACATCAAACTAACCACATATAATCTAACATATATATATCCAAACACCTGAACACCGCCCGCACATCCCAAACAAAAAGTCGCCTGAATCACCGCCCAAACCAGGCCACTTCCACGTTCACCGACAGGTAGGTGCCGCTCTTCAGCACCTGCGACATGCGACATGCGTGCCACTCGTGGCCCCGGTGAGGAGCCGGCGACCAAGCAAGTCGGTTTCTGAGAGTGGCGAGCTGGCGCCAGGGTGTGAAATGCCGGGTGCTTTTTGGTCCCCCTTGGGACTCTTCAGGGCTGCACATACCTTGTCCGCAGTCGTAGAACAGCTGCGTTGGGCTTGAGCGACCTGTTCTAAAGACACGACACGTGGGACTGCTATAGGACTGCCAATCAGTTGGGGTGGTTGAACAGGGGTCTGTCTGGGGCGGCATATATTCCAGTCCCATTAGTCGTGTCTGTCTACCTCGATCTGACCCGTTGATGCCAACGTTCTGCTTAAACCTAGCTGACTACCTGGCTGTTTTCGATGGATGAAACGGCGACGATGTGTCACAGTAGAAAGATCCAGGTATCGTGGTGGTGATGTTTCGTTGTTTTCCATTTGCATGGCTGTTTGGCGGCGGCCTGCGACATTCAACCAGAGAGAGAATTCACAACCGACATGTCACCTGAGATGGAACACATCCCGCGTTGAAACCCTGTCACCTGCGTTGAAACCCAGGGTTGCTCAAAAAGCTGCATTGAAACCAAGGGAACCGTCGGACCTGGGTGCCCCTGGGTGGGTGGTGGACCAGCACCTGACTCATTGGACCAGGTCTCCTCTGGTGGCGAGACCAAGAAGCCGGGATTCGAATTGAACACCCCATGAAAATAAGCATTCTTTCAGACTAAGAGTAGTGAACTAAAGTGTGAACTGATTAGTATTGATCTACCAGCGGTTTCTTTCGATTTTCAAAGCATGAAGATTTGATGCCAGTGCGATGGCACTCTGAAGATCTCTGAAGACATCTGAATAGTCCACTGCATGTCATACGATTTCTTCAAAAACGTCGAATTAGACGTCGACTCCCCCCGGCCCCATGCCGCTGCGCCTGTAGGGAGCCTGTGTGGATCCAGTTGGTCCAGAGGGCAATCTCACAGATGCTCCGACCACCTTCCACCTTCACCTGGCCACGGGTGACGGTGAAGACTGGCCATGCGGATTCTGCACGTCTGCCAAAGGACGTGCAGAATCAACGAAAGCCTTGTGCGGATTCTGGTCAAGGACAAGAAGACTAGGACATTGAATAACCTTCTTTCGATTGTTCCTATAGGAGGTGACCAGATTTTCTGTCCCTTGGATTCTTTCGATAGCGAGTGGTCCTTGCAGGTGAACACCCACCGGCAACATCAAGGTAACCCAAGTCACCGTGGTACGCCTCTGAAGTTCTGGTTCTGCCGCTGTTTTCAGGGCTAACGCAGGCCCAACATGGCCCAACCACTCAGAGCTGCGGTTTGCGGGGGTGTCGTTTGAAGCGGGGTTGACATCATCCACGAAGCGTGAAAAATAAGTGATGACATGCTTCCTAGTTTGCACATGTTTGCACATTGCACGCAGATAAGAACCTCATAGACATGTAGGTTTGAGGCTCTTGGAGTTCACCGCAAGAACTTTCACAATACATCGAACCCTTTGGGCAAAAGGAGAAGGAAGAGGAAGAGCTGCCAAATTCAAACCCACTTTCAAACCCCAAAACATCACGTACCAAGACCAAAACACCTCCAAACCACCACCATGGCCCGGATCTGCCCACTGCCACCTCACCTCTCCCTCAGTCCTCTCCTCCCTGCGGGCCTTGCGTGAGCGCACATGTCGGGGAGCCAGCAGTTGGCCCAGCTGCCCCAACAAGGTGTGCTTCCTGGCCACGAGCAGCGGCTGAGTAGCGCACGGATTCCGTGCCAGGCGCTGGGAGGCTCGGTCGGAATGGAATGGCTTTGAGGCCCGGAGAAGCTTTGAGGTCATTGGCCATGTCAATGCCAGGTGAACCTGTCAACTGCAACACCACATCGTTTCTGCACATGCTCTGCGAAGGCTGAGGGGCGTAATGAGGTGAATCTTCGATCCGCGAAAGGCTGCTTCGAACCACAGATCCCCGGATCACCTGATGCTGTCCCTGCCCTAGAAGTCCAGTTCGACTACAATGGTTTCAGAGTAAATGGCACAATCCCCAACAGGTGCTTTAGATGGACCCTATATAAAATTTAAACACATCTTGGGGTGCCAGCGCCACCTACTCTGAACTCACTGCAATCTTTTCCCCACTTAAGTAAACCCTAGAAGTCCAAAGTAAGACTATATTTTGACCGACTGATGTAAAGGAGTCTTTGACTCCCAGGTGAAGGATAGTACTGGAACTTCCGAACTGCGTCAGGCGGGGGGTGTTCACATTGTCTTTCCTGGACTTCTAGGGCCCCGGAGTCCAGACACGCATCACAGTCGGCGGCGGGACAAAACGCATCGTCCTCGCCAGCGTGTAGCAGAACCTCAGCGTGACCGTGCGTGAGGTGATTTCTGCGCGCCGCCCTTCGTTGTTCGCGGGCGAAACAAAAAGCGTATGCACCGCCGGTCTCCTGAAAAAGCGGGAAGAGCGGGGATGATGCCCCTCGTATTGCCGTGCCCCAGCTCCACCAACAGAGGTTGAAGAACCCTATACGCTATCCTATGGGTGGTCACAAGTTGTGTGGAGGGCGGTCTGTTGGGGACCCCTTGCTATGGCCGCCAGCAGGGCGCGTCTCTCGGCCCAGCGACGAGCCCGATAAAATGTAGAGCGTGGAATGCGCGTGATGGAAATCGGTGAAGATCATGTCGTGCTTTTGTGCCACGACCTGGCGCGAGATCGTGGCAAAACACAGCCAAACGATGGCGACCTGGCGCGGGGCTGAAGGCTCAGCATCGTCAGTCAAGGGCCAATAGAAAAAAGGGACACAAGCAGCTTGACCTTTACATATATCTCCATGAATCATGCATCTCCTCTTAACACATGGGCCGCGCTTGGGCTCCTAACGCTTTTGTGGGCGGAAATCTGCCTGCCTCTCCCCCTACAGAGATCTAACAGCACATCATGTCAACTGAGTCAACTGCTGATTAACTAATAGAACCTACTCTCTGGACTGAAGGACCTTCCAAGCAACCTTTTGATATCCCAGGATAAGGTCACTTAGAGACTCCAAAGAGATCACTTTGAAGGTCCAAGCTGGGATGGGTTCTGCAGCTCCAGGCCTGGAAAAAGTGGATTCCTCCAGGTCTCAACATGATGCGCCCCGTGCTCGCGCCGGGCCTCCGTCACCGCGTCCATGCAAACGTGGCGGAAACAGGCGCGGAACTTCTCCTGCAGCTGCGGAACTTGGTGGGTGACCAACAAAGGTTAAGTGACCGTAAACAGGACCCGTCACCTGGGCTATCGAACTGGGATAGTCGAACTAGGGTTCTGACCCACCTCTGCTGGGAAGCGGTTTCACTTCGAAAGTCAAGGAAAACTGAATCTTGTCATGCCAATCCTTCACAAGTTGGTGCTGGCGCCGTGCCTTCCGTTTTTTCAGACGGCTGAAGGCTCGGTGTTCGATCATGAGGCCCTTGCATCCTACATCCATGTACTCCTGTGCGATCATAAATGAAGTAAATGTATAACATAATCGCTATATAACCATTCCATACATGGATGGTCTGGGTGATGTTTTCATGTCTTTTTCACGGCTTTGTTCAGGTCCAAAACGTGCCAACATATGCTGATACGACGACTTCTCACCGTTGGGGGAGAAGCCGTCCTACCATAGCGAGCTTGATGGCCTGGATGAAACCCTCCGGTCCAAGCCATTGCGCTCTCTGTCTGCTGCAATAACCATTGAATGTCCCAAAAGATTAAAACGAAGTCGTTGACTTGGTTCTCCCATGTCTGTCCTCCCCTTTGGGCTAAATCCATCTACATCCTGCATCGTATACCCATCATCTTGTCGGTGGCTCACATTCGCCTGATTGGCCCCACTAATGAGAACCAACTTCCACGTCACAGGTTGGTTCCTTGGCCTTCCATGTTCCGGGTGGTTTCAGGAGTGAACGTAGATCAAATTCTCCATGCCTGGCGTCAACTTATTCATCACCTGCCGCCCTGGGGGGAAAAAACACGATATGCCCCACCGACCACCCCGCGCGTGAACGTCGGGTCCAGAAGAGACCAAACAACCGTCACTCGCCGGCCCAGGGGGTCCAATCCTTCGCGGGTCCGGGTCCAGCCAGTCCTGAAACTCATTCCAGAAGGTGCTCTTACAGAGGTTCGGGCCCCTGGACCTCAGCACCGGGCCGCAGGGTATGGTGCGGCTCCACGCTTCATGGCGGGCTCGGCTGATCCCTAGCGGGAAGAAGCGACCCTCCGAGCCACTGCGGTTGGATGGCTCTCAAAAAAACATGACCATCTGTGCTGGTCGGGTGGGACAACGAAACAGGTTCTGAGCCCTTGGAGTCCGGCTAAGTCCGGCTACAAGGCGCCTAGGGAGAAGCTGAAAGCCAATCATGGGACAGGATTCACACCTCATAATTGCTCATGGTACTATATTTGCTTTATAACTTTAAAAAACAACTTCTTTCGCTTATGTTACTATAACGATGTTGCACTACAAAACCAGGTCAACAATTTGTTTAAATGTGGTTTAAGGCTCGGTCTTGGAGTCTCGGCCGGGCTTTCGTTCGCTCGAGAGAGGCCTCATGCAAAAGCACCCACGAGAGAGGCTTCCAGGAACCCATGAATTCTTTACTTGGAAATCTCCAAGCCATCAGGAACAAAGCTTTATAACTATGTGATCAGCTATTAAGAGTTATATAATGTTATATCTAGATTCAGGAAAAGTAAACAGACTTGCAATATCTACCCAGACGCAACATCTACCAATCAATATCAGACTTGCAGCGGATGTGATGAACGCCCCGCCGTGCCAGAAAAGTAACTATTTAAGGCAATTTGCCCTCATTCGAGGGTTATTCAAATGCATTTTGAGGGGGTTAGAGTATTTGAATGAAGAGGGATGGCCCACAAAGAGAGAGAGAGAGAGCCTGGTGAGCACCTGTCTGAGGTCCCGCAGATCCAAGGTCTAGACCATTCATCCAAGTGACTCCTCGTACAAATCTGACTGCAAGATCTCCGGCATCTTCGACAAAAGCTGCTGCTCCTGACCAGGCGACGTCGCAGTCGCCGGTGAGGCAAATCCAAGGAAAACACGAGTTGGTGCCTTAGAATGCCTTAGAATTTATATAGATGAATCTAGGATGTTACAGGATGCTCTAAACCAAACAACACCTCAACCCCAATCGAAGAATCACTGAGCCGAAGAGGACCGGCGCTGCCGTCGAACTCGGTCACCTCTAAACAGCCGTTCGCCTTCATGTTGACCCTAAAAACCAGTGGTTGACCTGGTTGACCTGGCTTTGTAGTGCAAAACCCTTAGTAAAACAAGATGGCTGTTGAAATTTCAGGGTATTCCGAGGCCATTCCCAGGGTCTAGGTCTAAGTGGCAGGTGGTGTTTCACCATTCAGCTAATAGTTTCATGGTCCATCGTCTGCAGTCCAAGCCAACGCCTGCCACAGATGGGAGCCGAAAGCAGGCTGAACATCCAGCATACGCTCTAGGATTCCTGGCTCACCATAGCTCACCCTTGATTGATTTACAGTGGTTGCAGAATTGATGGGGCAAGTTTACGGTCAGTTCCGTGGTTTAAAAGGATCTCCCTGAATCTGTCGAAGACATCTTCAGGGCGCCTGTGACCTGTGCCATCACAGGTCACCCCTGTACAGCAATGGGTGTTGAGTGCTGACTTACGATTTGGAGACCACGAAAACCAGCTCCAACGCTTTTGGCCGAAGATATGCCGGCTGAAGCCGCTCCAGCTCTGCGAGGCGTGGACCGAAGCCAAGAAAGCCATCGTTCAAGGGGATTGTGCTGTTCCCACTTCCAACGGCATTTCTTCCACTTCAAGTGCAGTAGTTTTCTTCCACCTGAGTCTTCTGAAGTCAGTGTGGTTCTTCTTCAAAGCCCTTCTTGTAGGCCATGCTCCACTTCAATGCGCTTGTTCAATAGGCTCAAACGATGCTTTTACTCGGCCACACGGGAGCGGCGAGCGGTCCTCCTTGAGCTTGCTCTCCAGCCAGGATTGCTGGTGACACGACACCTGAGCTCCGGGTTTTCGGAAACGAACTCAGGCGACTGAGTCCGGAGACTCCGAGGAGAGAGTGCCTGGCGTTTGGGTCCTATATATAATCCTTATTACACCTGGTGCGTCAAAGACCTCACTTTGGAGGGTACTTGTTAAAGCCTTCCAAAAGTTACTAACGACCGCCAAAAGTGTTGGGCCAGGTGACTGAGGTGACCTATTCGAACTACTAGGTAAGTGTCAGTGCTTGTCGGACAAGAACCGAACAAAACCAAACACGGTGGTTGGCATGGGAACATCATGGGGGAACATCATGGGGGAAAAGCATGAAGATCAGCCATTTTTGGATGTGCTAGACTAAGAACCAGGCCCACCGAGACAGTGCGCCGCTGATTCTTGGCTTGAAGCAACTGGGGCGTGAGATGCCTGGACCAAATCGGATTCCAACCACTGGATCTGGCGGGTTTCCCTAGAAGTCCAGTTCGACGATATTTTGACCAGCTGAAGTAAACCAGGGGTCACAAAGGGGTGGTCTTTGGTCTCTAAGTGAGTGGAGTAGCTGGGCACCCCTAACCTCCAATAAGCACCCCTTTGTGACTCCTGGAGGGAAGTTCCCTTTCAGTTCCCCTAGTCAGACCATTCATTTGATAGTCGACTTGACTCCCAGGGGGTATGAGATTCCAAAGCGGGGGACCTGGGCCCACGACAGAGAATGAGCAAAGAGTGGTAACTGATCCGCGGAACTTTGGTTGGACCGTCTCTGGATCGTCTGGCCCGTCTCGCGATCGTTGAGTCACACTGCGACGTGTCACTTCCAACTCACCCGCCACCATCGCGGAGGAGATCCCGGAGGCAGTCCCAGTCAAGGAATGGGCATGTAGGTTCGGACGGGTCCTCGCCACCAAATCTAAAGGACACTCCATTTCGAGTCACCCAAAAACGATCACAATGTCCATCCATCTTCTACCAAGCGCTCCCTCAGCTCCCTCCCTCAGCTCCAGCCCCTGTCCCACCGCGCCGCATGTCGGTTCGCCCGAACGGCCCCGCTACGCCCGAACGCCGACCGAACTTTCGATCCCCGATGATCCATCCGAGGGGCTACGAACTTCTTCATGCGGATGGAGAGCTCCGGGGTAATATGATGCGACTCCAGGAAGTTGTTGCACACATCCTGCGAGGCAGTGACCGGGACCTTTTTTTAAGGACGCCTTCGAAAACCTGGGGTACCCTGGCCTGGGAGGGCGTCGAACTAGGGTTCTGACCCACCTCTGTTGGGAGATGAGACTGGGGACAGAGTTCAGAGTTGGAGGAGCTTGTCCACTTCCATGTTAGTTCTAGGGAGCGTACGGGTTTACTTGTTGCACACATCCTGAAGGATTCGGGATGGAGAGGGGGGTCCCACCGATCAAATTTCCAAGATCCTTCAAGCTGATCGAGGTCTTTCCACTGCGTCCTTCGCCCATCACCTGGTCATACCTGGTCCATTGAAAGTGTTCCAACAAATTTCACAAAAACTTGTCAGAATCACAGTGCGCAAGTAATGGGATTCCGATGGATTTCTTGCAATCTAAGACATGCATTAAATGGATTCCTTGTTGTTCCCCTCCATCGCACCAGGGAAGACTACCCACTGTGGTTTCCACCCAGAGGTTGCTGACAAATTGATCGGGTACATGCACAAAGCTCAAAAGTGCTTGGAACAATCTCTGTAAGTGCTTGGAAAGGGGTAAAGGAAGTCAGATGGATTTCATGTAGTTGAAGCAACACTTGAAGCCTCCTTAGCCCTGAAAAAGCCCCGCAGCTGCCTGGAGATTGCTCAACCTGGCATCCACAAACTGTTGAACCTCAGTTCCGCCCCACGCGCGGGTCCCAACGTGGTCCAAGTAGGCCCCCCGAGCGTCATTGGAGGACATGATCCAAACACATCAAAACAAAAAAAAGGAACGAACACGGATGGACATGCTTGGACAGCATCTGCGTGGATCACTGTCGCTTTGAAAAGGCTGGCTATTGATCAACAACGTCCTTTGTGATCTCCGGTTGTGTGTGTGTCTGTCTTCAGATTAAACCGACATAAGCGCACACATGTCTGGCGCAACCCAAACACTCCGACCTGACTCCAACCCGCCCACATCACCCGTCATTCTGGTTCCCAAGGTGCCAAGAAGACGATGCGCGCCAAAAAGATGGAGGTCCCCACAAAGCCAGCCACTCGCATCACCTGGGTCTCCGTCAGTCTCTGTGTGTCCCAAGCTTGAGGTGCCTTCTTAGCCCAAGGCTGGAGGGGGGTGACCAGGTGACCTAAAGAAGGACAGCACCAGGTGCTACAGTAGCTGGGTGGCTTTTGGAGGAGGTGGACGTCCTGCTTGACACTGCTTGAGACCAAGCTCAGCCCCAAGCAGGCTGTGCCTGTGCTAAGGTTTGCTCAATGGACATCGGATCACATCAGGTCCAAGATCTTCGTGCAGTCAAAGGAAGTCTAAACCCCTTCCAAGACCATCATTCAAAGAAATGGCACAAACCTGCTTTTGTAGTGTAAAATCCTTAGTGAAACAGCTCGGTCGTTCGGTAAAAAAATATAAATCAATCGAATCAATGCTCGATGGAAGCCTATAGAGACTTCATGGTACTTTGATGGGTTCTGCATGGTTTTGCAATGCTTTGCGGAATGTGTGAAGACCCCGCCCACCTTCCAGTCGCGGCGGGTCCCCCGTCTCGAGGATTGTCTGACCCAGTGACTGCACTCAAGATGAGATCCGTCGCGCTATCGGCCACATCGATCTCGGACCATAAGAAGAAGTCCTTGGATTGTGCACAACAGGTGTCCAAAAACCACCAGGACCGAAACCAAGAGGTGTCTGTAAATAGCCTCTTATAGAGGTGACCAGGAGGTGTCCCAAAACCACCAGATTTGGAAGGTCCTGGTATATAAGACATGAAGAAAACAACGGGGATTCACCCACTTCGGGAAAGTAAAAAACACCTGATCCGCAGTCCACCAGGAGGCCAAGGCCCAGTGCACAGAGATCAAGTAGGCATAGGCCTCGGGTGAGCAAATGATTCGCCGGGGCAAACGATGCCTTCGCCCAGCCAGCCTGCACCCTCATTGTACTGGAGTTGGTCATGCAAAAACACTGCTCGAGGATTCTCAAGGTATAAGGTCAAGGACCTGCAGGTCTTACTGGGTCAGACTGGACTTGTAGGATCTTGTCGGGAAATTGCAGGAATCACCCAGTTCGGGAAGAAATCCAACAATCACCACCCGCAGTTGTCACCCCATGCGACCTCGGACTCCCATCGACCGAAGGCCGCAGGTCGGAAAGGCTTGCGTTCGGAGGGGCCATGTCATTCTCGGACACGCCCTTCTCTTTCAAGACCTCCAGCCCTTCCGAGGTCGATGTCCGAATGAAGAGAAGCAGGCACGCCATCACATGTAGCCCACCTCGCTGCGACCGACCCCTCCAACCGACCCCGCGACCCCAAAGACCACGCGCGACGCGGAACAACGCGGAACCGTCGTGTCCGCGACCAGGCACGGGGACTTGTCCGGTGGCGTCGTACGAGAACGGGCGAGATTCGGAAAAGCCGTTTCGCGAGGACTTGAGATTTGATATGCTCTTGCCTAACCCTATAATAGACTCCTGGAAAGACCGCCACAACCGCTTCACGACCAGGCAGCATGCATGTCATTACGCTACACGACCCCCACACCCTTGCCATCCACACTCCCCAACCCTGCAAATCGGGATTCACCCGCCGGGCTGCCCAAGTAGGCCAGGCAAGTCTTCAAGATGGAGACATTTGCGGACAAGACCTGCGCAGCGGTTCTTTTCTTGGAGCACAGTCTCCGGGCAATCCACCAGCAAGACGAGATGCTGCAGAAAAGCCGGGCCGCAGGGCAAGTGGTGTTGATCATTGGTTATCCCAATTCATGTGAATGATGTGGGAGTCAAAGACCAACAAAAAGACTGAGGCCTTAGGTCTTGACCCGAACCTTGACTTCAATGTGGCCAGTGGTTCGGACCCACTGAGGTCAGGTCGTCACTCAGGTCAGAGTCTCCATCGACCAACCCGTCATGGGAAAGTGAATCAGAGATGGCGGCAGCCACTGTCTCTCATGGCTCAACCCAGATGGCTCAACCCATGGCATCCCACTGATGGCTCGACCGTCTCGTCGTTGACCGAAATGCTTCACTCGTGGACCGAAAGCGCGGCGATGCTATGCGCACTGCGCAGCGCACAACTCGTTGACCTTGCTTGAAGAAACTCGATCAACACGCACTTACCTGGACCTTCAAGGGGTGTCCAATCGAGGTCCCTTAGTAGATCTTAGTAGTGTAGGGGCTTCCAGCCAGGTGACCCCGACATGAAGGTGCTGGTATATAATCCATTATCATCCTAACCATGGGGTTTCTGTCGATGTTTCAGGGTTGTTTTCTGTCGAGGTCGCACCAGGGCGTAGCACCCACCACGCTGTGAATGCACCACCCCGGCTGCTGAGCCTTCCCATGAACAAATTTTGTATAATATTTCAAAACACCCTTCAGAAGGCCCTTCGTGCTCAATGCTTCCCTTCTGGTTGCGTACGACCTGGTACGTGCTTCAACACCTACTCACCGCAGCCGCACTGGCATCTCCTCACCACTAAGTGTATTCGCTCCATCGTCACACTTCTTACACCAACAGAGGTTGAAGAACCCTACAGACTATCCTACAGCTACCCCAGGTCATGGGTCCCATTTACAGTCACCCAAAAACCTCTCTTAAGGCATAAAATTGAGCTTCTTAGCAACATCCACACCACGCCGTGTTCGACTCCTAGGGGCCCGAACACGCGAAGCTGCCCCCTCCGCCCATGCCCCACACCAGCTCGGAGACCCACCAAATAGCTTGCCGCCCCCACCCTGGCTCGTTCGAAGAGGATCTCACTGAAGATGGCGTGCAATTTCTTGAAGCGCATCAACTTCATGAGCCTCAAACGTCGAGACACACAGCGTGTTCGTCAAGAACGCCGTCGGCGGTGCGCCGGAGACGTCCACGTGAGCCTCCTTCCACCCATCGCGGACGGCGCGGAAGGTCACGTGCCCGAACGGTATGCATGGCACCGACGTACATGAACTCAAGTCTTCCAGGATCTTTCAGGTGTTGCGACCACAAATCGCAGCACCTTGCTCCTGCCCTGCTTGCCTAGTCGATTGGTCCTGGATCAATGATGCAGCTAAGGACGTGACACTAGCCGGCCAAAACATCTAGCATTCAAAAAGACATGACCTTTGCCTGGTTCTTCCAAGTGACCTTTTGATCTCCCAGATTGAGGTCACAAAAGGGCCTCTATAAGGTCACTGGATGGCACTCCAAAGAGGTCACTTTGCTGAAGAAGCTGGTGCCCCACTCCGTTCGTCAGTGATTGAATTGTGTGTTTTCCCTTTCATGCATGTTCCTTTCGAGTCCCTCCCAGCCGACGCGACGGAGATGAGATCCGACGCACCCGACGCCAACGACGAGATGGCGGCCGCCCGTCGATCTCGCGGCCGTCGCGGCCTCACGAAGCGGAAGGAGCGGAAGATCGAGACCTCAGAGAAGGCAGAACCAGCAGCAGGTGGGTCAGAACCCGACGCCAGTCCCGACTATCCTATATATGGTACCCCAGGTGTTCCGGGTCCTATTGACGGTCCCTTTGTTGGAATCTCTCCCCCTTTTTATCGTCTCGGAATCATGAAAGATGATGGATGGTGAAGTTGCAAGCCGACATCTCTAAAGTACAGTGATGTTCTGGCTTTACATTGGTTTTACCGACTGCTAGAGGCCTTTTTGATTGGACACCCCTCCTCGATCTCTTTGTGACGGGGGGTGACTGTCATATATCATCTCTGTATCATCTCTCGAGACCACTGGGATCGGCTCTTGGCAAAGAAAACTGTAGGAAGGGACCCAACCTCCTGGTCCTCCTGGTCCTCATCCCTCCTGGATCTAGCCCATGCTGGTATGGCCTGGAAGGCGAACCCGAAGTAAAACCTGGCTTTGCTTCAGGCCCGGGAAGAATATTCCCGAGAAGGGGATTCATCCAGTTCGGCACAACCACCAATCACATCAAATCGCCCTATGCAGGACCACGAACCCATCTCCCGCGCTCCGCTCCGCACGCTCGAACCCATCTCGCGCGTCTTCGCCCACATCCAGAGGCACCGTGGAGTTGGCGATGTCCTGGGTGAAGAGCGCGGTCCACTCGATAACGACGATGCTGGCATCTAAGAAGAGCCTCAGACCGGTCGAGCTGGCTCGAGCGTTGGGCTTCGGTGTCCAAGGTCATCCAACGTTGACGTTCGAGGCTCCGGCCGCAGGATCTCCTTTGCTGGGAACTAGGCGGAACGATCACTTAGACTGCTGATTCATGAATTCTGAATTGCCGGGGAGTTTGATCAACTCAGCAACCAATAAAATGATTCTACGACGATCGTCAGCGCGCGCGCGCGCGCGCGGGGTCCATGGCAGAGACGCCCGCCGGGGGGCAGACGTTCGCCACGCAGGTGAAAAGGGGGTCTGTGGGGGGTCTGTGATTGATGTGCCGTAAAGGGCTGCCCACAACCCGGACGTTGGTCAAAATGGACCCAGTTTGACTCAAATATCACCTCGCACACCGCATGCATCCACATTGCTTTCTCTTAAGATCTCTGGCATGGCTCTCATCAGGGCCTAGTATATGGCTCCTCGTGACATGCTCCGCAACAGCTATTTCCCACTGACATCCTGAACCTCCAAGGGGCCATGTCTTCGCATACTCCTTGGCAATGGTCTTCAAATCCATATGCATGCGCCCATCCACATAGACTCCCGTGATGAAGCTCAAAAGGATGTCCACCTCAGCGGCTTCAAGGTCGAAACAGCGGCGAAGAGAGTGCCTATAACTATACACGTTCAACATCAAAACCTTAGACTCCGAAATGCTAGCGCTTTTAGCAAACTCTCAAAATCATATGGACACAAACAGTCTTGTCCATCTTTCCTCTGTGGTCCACACTATTCACCGTATACTATGTTGCTGTGTCCTGCAGCTTGTAGGTGGGGGTGGCATCGAATCTGCCGAGGCCCCCCACCCCTTCCAAGTACAAGAGCCAGCAAGAATCAAGCTGGCTGGAACAACTCTTTTTTCAGATGCCAAGAGTCTGTCCAAATGAACATGAAGATCAAACTAAGCTCCGGCCTGCCAGATCGCTCAATGATGTCCCCTTTGTAATGCCAAAGGGCTTGATTTGGTGGCATATACCTAAATGGTTGCTGACCTACGGTCCAAGGCCATCTGTGATCGTGCTTACACCAGCAGTCACAAAGGGGTGCTTAATGGAGGTTAGGGGTGCCCAGCTACTCCACTCACTGGATGGGACTAAACACCACCCCGAGCTCTGTGACTGCTGGTAGAGACTCCTTTCTTGGGAAAAAGAGCGGCGAAGCCGGCGGCTTCGGCGGGTTCCGCCCCCAGGAACTCATCCAACTCCCGAGCCATTTCCTGGGAGAATCATCTCAGAAGTGGATACCATGGGAAAACCCTACACCCTAGAAGTCCAGTTTGCCATCGTCACAAGTGGTAGACGTCCTGTAGATGTTCCCTTCAACATCCACCAAATCCATTGAATTAAAGGTTACGGTTCAATCATGATCATGGTGAACCTCCTATTTGTCCACCTCTCTCTCGGTGTGAGTGGGGGGTGTCACATGATGTGTCACCCATGGTGTCCCCCTTTCCCCCAAAAGGAAGAAGCCTTGGGCGGGTGATTTAGCGATGTGAATCTGAAGCACGGCAGCGCTACAAAAAACACGTCCCCCTCTTGGAGGTAGAAGAAAGGGACCCTACAAGTCCCGGTACCGGGCCTGGCGTTTTTCACCTGGTCCGACCGAACTCATGTAGGGTAATTACTGGTTTTGCATTTTCGCGGACCCAGTCTTGCATGAGGTCCATGACGGAACGTCATGGAGTCAATGATGAGTGGCTCTTGTCATCACTTTTCTATCCCTGGTGAATCCTAGTGATCCCCGCAAGTGATCCCAGGTGAAGAGTTCGCGCCTCGTTCAAAAGACACACCTCCACCCTTCGAATATCTTTGAATCCACACGCTTCGGCTGAGCGGCTAAAGCCGCGAAGCCGAACCACGCGCGCGCGTGTTCTCAAGTTGTTCACCAGCCCTGCCTCCCCCAACAAGACTCCTCGTCTATCCTATACAGTAGGTACCCCAGGTGACGGGTCCTATTTACGGTCACTTAATCTCTCTTGGCCTCTCCCCTTGCCACTACACTACACACCGGCGCTCTCATGCGCTGATTTCCCCCGCTCACCCCCAGAGAAGTCGAGCGCACCCGCGGGAGAAGTCGAGCGGGAGGGTGAGGAACTCCCAGATCCATGCAAAGATGGTGAGGAGAATCCAGGCCTCAGGGACTCAGGGCACGAACAGGCGAACAAATCATGGAGCCTCTGACCCCAGTGTCGGAAGCAACAAATAGAGTGTTCAAGACTCCAGCCGAAGAAGTAAAGGTTGGAGATGCTCACTTTTGGGGGGGCATCTTCTTCACTGAACACCCTTTCGCAAGATCTTGCGTGTCTGGTCTACCTATCAGGAAGACTCAACCAAACAATTGGCCAAGTCCTCACCCAACTTTGTTGGCAGTCAATCCAGTTTTGGATAGTTTTTGCATGTCCCGGCCCTTGAGATACCCGCAAAATGCCGCAGCCGGTCGAAGGCTAAACAATTCTGAACATCTTTGATTGATCTAACTGCAGCCAGCTCTTCCTCCTTCTCACTACGTCTATACGTCTATGTCAACCAAACCCGCCAAAAACAGGAGCGCTGTATCTCCTGGGGAGTCACAGACTATTCAGCATCGTCTTTGGAGGACGGGAATTTCCTCTACGTCATGAAGGATAAGCCAAGCAACCAAGAAAAAAGCCCTGGACTTTCAGGTTCGGCCCCACAAATCTTGCGAAATTTACAGCACACTCTCTGGAACTAACATGGTTACGTGGAGAATGGCCCCGAAAGGAAGACCATGTTCCACTACAAACAGGTGGTGAACTCCACTTCCATGTTAGTTCCAGGGAGGGTAAACACCCCCACATCTAAAATACATCAACTCCAAGATCCCTCCAACGACCTGCGTTTTGTCGGGACGACCGGAGCTCCCGAAAGCGGCGGAGCGCGCTTCCCCTCGCGCGGCCGTGCGCGACCTGGCGCGCGGCGCAAGCCGCGGGCCGTGCGGTCGGGGGTCTAGTCGAAGATTGGAGTTCGGATGCAGGCGGCAGCGCTGAGCCTTTACACCTGAGAGCTTCGGAGTGGCCGGGCGCTCGGTGGAGGGGTCGCCGGGGAGGGTGCGTGTAGGGCCAAGTGGGAGCAGCATGGACATTGGAAAGAACAACATGTTCGTCACGGGGGTTCTGTTAACCACCCGCACACCGCGGCGCTGGAAGAGAATCTCAGTGTCACTGGATTTCAGGAACTGGTTTTTGGTTGGGCTCCATGGTATCTCCATCTTGTGGAAGCATATGGGTTGCCCACTCTTTCGATCCCCTAGAATCTTGAGCAACCACTATATTCGATCACGAGATTGTTTTCCCAACGCCGCACTGGTTGCAGCAGCCTGAAACACACCGTTCATGGGGTAGGGTCAACAGAAACAAGGACATGCCGCTTTATATGTTTATATCTCCTTCTGTGAACCTGGCACAGCATAGCTCTTGGACATGCATGGCCCCACCCCCCACTGCCCTCAGAAAAGAGAAGACAAACCTTCATCCTGTCGCTGGAACATCTTCCACCAAGCAAGGTTCTTGTTGGAAGCCTCTTGCTGACCACACCAACTCGAAACGCAGCTCGGCTCCCGCTACTAAGGCGAGCACTGAAGCCACTGACCTGCTGCGTCTTCAGCAAGGTGTCCAAGGACGTGGAACGAGCCCCCAAGTTGAAGAGACCCAACCACGGTCCATCCTGCAAGCTGAAGCTGAGTCAAGAATCTGAAGCCGAGTGACTCCACTCATTTTGGTCCGGATCCTCTCGGTCGCAAAAGTCGTGTGCAGACATGGTAAGTAATGGTTCGATTACCACACGACAAGTAAGGTCAGCAATTTTTATGGTGGTCTTTGAGGGCTAGGGCCAAAAAGCTTTTCGTGCCAGAAAAAAAGGTGGAACATCGTCCACGCCCGAGGATGGCGCTCTTGCGGATGCTTGCGGCGGGTGAAGGGTCAGGGTGCTGGCACTGGGCGAAGTCCAAAGGCTATGATGGCGCTGAGTATACATGGACGTGCATTACAATAGGGAGACCTCACTGGAGACTTTGAACATCGACCCATCTACCCACTTCGAGTGGTCTGCTTTTCTTTAGACCCTACGTTGAGTGGCCTGGAAAGTGCACCTAACTGACGTGAGATTCTTTGCAACATCTTCGTAGCTAGCAACACAACACCCCCTTTACACAGTGGTGGCAGAGTAGATGGCACAATCCTCAAACCAGGTTGTTTATAAGGGCCTCCATCTTGAAGAAATCTGGTAGTTTGGACCATCTACTCTGAAATCACCGTACATCTTTATGCAAATGTCATCTAGCTACTTCGACGTGGCCTGGTCTTCTTTGGATTTTAACCTCCATCCATTCGTCCAACCATCCATCCATCCATCCATCCATCCCATCCCATCCCATCCCATCCATCCATCCATCCATCCATCCATTAAGCCTCGTCTCCCGGCTTCTCGCCCCCCGCCTTGCCATCTTTCAGCTCACGAGGCTTGTAACCTCAGAGGTGGAGGGTGATAGGGTGATAGTACAATTCAGTCAGCATTTCAGGTCGTGGGTCCGTTGACCTACTGATATTGACTCCCTGCAATTATGACCTTTACTGGTTCATGCCTGGCAAGGCTAACAAAAGAAACCAGTAGAGTTATCCGCTGGACTCGAGATGCGCAGGTGGCCTCTTTGTGAAGTTGAACAAGCATGACAAAACCTGGAGGCCACACCCCAGCCAAGCCCCACACCTTGCCTTCGACTTCGCACTTTCAGAGGCTCACTGTACCAAGTGTCGGACACCCCAACTGTGGCATGGAGAGAAAATAGAATACATGCAACACAAGCGTTGTCTGCCCTTCATTTGACTGGCACACGGCATGAAAGAGGGCATAACCCAGGACATTTCCCAAAAATCACGTAGAATCTTGAGTAAACCCACAGGAGAGAAAAACAAAGAAATAAAACAAGCCTGAGAAGGCTTTTAACCATCCATACCGATACCTGGGGGGGGGAGTAAGGACAGTTCCGTTACTCTCAAGATTTTACACTCAGGGGATCTTGCTGCAAGAGACTGCTGGTAGTCTCATTCCATCTCGTGTGCAAGTGGAACCTCAGGACGGCGTGGGCGTGACTTCGGGACGCCGGCTGCGAAGGCTGCCGCGCGAAGGCGCCTTCGCGCGAAGCAGGGCCGAAGCACCGCCGGTGTCCCATTCTGATGGATTGATCTGTATCCCTCCCATGCAGGTTGTGGTGACAGGCTATACCAGAGGTGGGTCAGAACCCTAGTTCGACTATCCCAGTTGGGTCCCGGTTTTCCGGGTCCTATGGTCCCGGTCACTTAACCTACCTCTTTTGGTCTGTATGGGTGGGCCCAAATCGTAGCTCCGACGCTCTTCGGCGACCCCAAAGCTGCACAGCTGAGACCACATTCATCCCTCAAGCGGATGACTCCGATCAGGGTCATCATTGGGGATTCAGTTGGAACAAACGAGGACCAAATGACCACATTTTGATTAGAGGCCATCGCTAGTAGGTTGCTGGAGGCCATCGCTAGCAGGTTGGAGGCCTCGCCATTAGGTTGGAGGCCATCGCTATACTATTAGGTTGGTATCGAGTTGACTGAGAATTTTGGTCGTCAAACAAGTTCAAACAATCGAGTCGGGGATGCCCCTGTCGTCATGTCGGGGACGAACCAGATGAGAGACGTCTGGAATGGCGGAGACAGCAACAGGTTTTGCAACGACAACAACAACAACAGGGTTGTGATCCGCTTCAGCAGCAGCAGATAGAAGGCCACCTTGAATATGTAACATCAATCACAAAAGAAGAAACAAAGAGACGACCACATCATGGACATCACTTTGCCTAAACTGTGCCTCAATTGCCCACCAGAACCAGTTCGGGGCAGCCACTGAATGTTGACACCCTGCAAAGCATTTAATTTGAACATCTTGAAGGTCAGTCAGGCTATAGAAACATCTCCAATCCAAGCAAAACAAATCCAATCAAACCACTCTCTGAGTGGTTAAGGTTCAACCACCTCTGCGTACCACAAACATGCGCTTGCACAACAGCGCGGAGGAAAAAAATAGCCATAGCCAGTAGAACCCGCCGCGCGCTGCCAAAACCGGTCTCAAAAGAGTCATGACCGGACTCTCTTAAACTGAACTGCTGCCACTGAGAAGCGTGGGGACGTCGGCATCTAGAAGTGCTCTGGTGACCAAGTCGGCCCAATTAATGATCGCGGCGGAGGCTTCATCGGTCAGGGAGGTGCCTCCAAACAGAACAAATGGAGGCCCCGCCTCGAACTGGAGTGTGGAGGGGGGAGAACCGTTGCTGGATTGCGTTTACTGTTGACCGCTAGCAGGGAGGAATTGGGGAGGGTGCAATGAGTGCATAGAAATACCTACCAAACGATGCCATTGTTGCACTAAGGAGTTTAGACTACAGAACCACATCAACAATTCTTTTATATCATTAGTCTTTGAAGCTAGGGATTATTTTAACAGAAGTTCCACTACGGCCAGGTGGATTTCAAGCCACATCAACAGAAGCTGGCAAATGACGCCTCAACCAGCACAGGTCAAAGGTCAAAGGCCGTCCAAAGACTTGGATTCTTGAATCCGAAAGCCACCTAGCGAGGTTGAACAGCCACCTAGGGAGGTTGAACTGCCTGCCCTGTAAGGGGCCCTATATATACCCCATCCCATATGTACCACCTAAGGTCGGGTCCTAGTTCAGGTCTCTCAACCTCTCAAAGCCAGTGCTGACGTTGACTCGCTGACTGACTGTCGTCTCGCCGACTGGAAGGGGAATGCGACAAAGCCTTGAAGGTTTGTTGCCCAACATGCTACAATACCAGGTACACTCTCAGGAACCCGTCACATGGAGGGCATGGGCCAGGGTGAGATCTTTCTCCACTCAACAGTGCTTTTCCACTTTTCATGTTGCTGAGCATGAGGCCGTGCAGTGAATCTACACACCACCCGTTTGGCAACTATTCCGAAGATGGCCATGCACGTCCATGACCAGGCCATGCATGGCTACTATTCCTATTTCAGTGAATCCCCCAGCAGTCACAAAGGGGTGCTTAATGGAGGTTAGGGGTGCCCATTATCCACTCACTTAGGGACCAAACACCACCCCTCACCACCCCTTTGTGACTCCTGGCCAATGAATCTAGTGATAGTGCATGTCTTTGGCCTCTGGCTTCCACATACGGATGCACATGGATGCACCAAACTTCTGAGAAAAAGGGCTCCACAAGAAATCCAACAAAAGAACATAAAGGAACAGGGTGTCATGGCATGACCATTCTTTGACTTCAAGCTCTCCAGGATGCTAAAAGAAGCCATGACCTCAAATGGCTTCAAGTTAGAACCATCTGCCTTCCATGCTCCATCCGGAATCCCCCTGCACCAGGCAGCCCCGAGGCTTCGACGCCTCCCCCGCCAGCGCCCGGCCCCGCGCCGCCTGTCGTCTCCCCCGAGCCAACGCGGCCCACACGTGGGCCATCCATCAACTGGCGCAGGCGATGCGGAGGGACCCGGGCGGGCCCTAAAGCCTCAAGGATTCATGGGCTCAGCCTTGAAAAACGTCCAGCCTTGCCGAAGCACCATTGGGAATTCCCGTTGGTTGCTGTTTTGATGCTTGAATCAGGTGGAATCCGAACAAACCCTTGTTTGGACTAAGGGTTTTAGCTTTGAATTGCTTTTTGAAGGCAAACGGGTGAAGGCTCAAGCCCCACAAGCCGCCCAAAACGCCGAACGATCGCAGGCCGCCGCGCGGCGCCCCTATGAGTTTCATTCCCATCTCTCCAACAGCAGGTGCTGTTTAGCGAACAAAAAACATACCCTTCTCACCATCAGCTATATACCACAAAAAAGAACACCACTAGTACTGATGACTCACTTCGGCGAGCGCCCAGAGACTCTATGGGACGATTTACCTTATGCCATACATGGATGGTACCAGGACACCCTAAGGGGTTTCTATTGATAGGCCTTTAGAGGTTCAGGATGGTTCAGGGGTGTCCAGCAAACCAGCCCGACAGTGGGTCCTGGTATGGGATAGATTGAGGCCATTCTAGGCATCTCATGGATCGAATCAGCCATGGCCCCAATGGCCTCGAGGCCGTTTTATCTCCGCTCCCCCAACCGAGGTGGCCGAAGTCGCCAGACAAAAACCGGGGCAAAAACAGTAGATTGGTGCTGCCCAGGACGAGACCAAGATCATCCAAGATCACTCAACAACACATGAGAAACCTGATGACAAGTGCGTAACGAAGATCACACAACATCGAAAATCATATACTAGGCTCAAAAGAGATAGGACTGGTGGTTGACGACATACATTTTACGTACGTCCCATCTCATCTGGGACTAGAATATTACAATAAAGGGCTCTATAGAGGTCCACCAAGCCCAGTGGAATTCGATGTGCATTCGACCCCCACTGAAGCTTTCTATCCGCGATCATTTTCGTTTCAATCCGTCCGATCGTCCAACGGCAGATCGAACTTGCTGATGATTCGATAGACCGTTGATTCCAGTACAACCAGCAGAGGTGGAAGGACCCTAGTTCGACTATCCCAGTTGGGCACCCCAGGTGACGATAATTCCATTTCACATGTACATTGGATCACCTTTGCACCGGCATATGCCCCATTCTCAGTACAGCCTACTTGGACCACATGCTCGATTCAGTCTTCTACAACCCCCCGGCCCCCACCTTAGTGGGGCGAGCCTCCCAAAACATCATCTTTCACCAACTTCTCGAACCGGTCGGACGCTCCCGAGAAAATCACATCTGCCAGGACCTTCCCAGTGACCTTTTTGGAGTCCCTAAGTGACCTTTTACAAGCCTAAGTGACCTCGAACCAGGGGATCAAAAGGTCACTGGGAAGATCCAGGTGTTTTTGCACGGCAACTCCTCAAGCTTTTCAGCCTGCCACCCTTACATCGCAAGAACTGAAGTTGGGAGTCTGGTGGACTTCTGAGTCTTCCAGCATCCTCCGACCGGTTTGCTGTAGAGGGTTGGGAAGGGCCCTAACAGGTCTCAACTTGGTGACCTGTTGGAAGATGCTGGTTTAGATTGTTTAGATGAAACGAACTGGAATTGTCCCCCACCTCGTCAGTGCCAAAGAAAGGTCTTGGGACTTCTGGGGAGCAGGCACACGTCATCAAGTGTCTTAGGCGAGTCACGAGAAAAGAGAGAAGCCCACCCAGCCGACAAGAATGATATGACTAATGGGAAGGACATGGAAGATGAAGGGGGTTCACATGGATTCACCCATAAGGAAAGTAACAATCACCCTAAGCGAAACCCGGGTAATGACGCACACTCAACCCACCAAAAAACAAGCAGGTCCGCCCGGCCAGAGCCCACCTCCTCTAGACCATTCTCGATCAAGGTCATCGACAGCGCAGACTGGTTCTGGGCGTGGCAGAGGCGTTCAACTCCTCCCTCCTTCAGCACCTTAAAGTAACAACTGTGAACCCAAAATGTTCCTGGAATGTAGTTTAATCCTTTCTGGAAATGTCTGGGAGGCTAATTGAAGAGCACTCCAAAATAATCCTTATGCCAAGCCCCCCGCAAATAAATACAGACTCACCGTGACCGTGACTTGCCCTACAAGTGGGAAGGGTCGTTGGGATCAGCTACGTTACAGGACAAACTGGTGCCACCAAGCAAAGTGCCCCAAGCCTTTTCGTAGCCTCGACCCCTTCAAACTTCAAACATCAACATTTGAGAAGAGTGTCAGCTCCCATGCCACTGTTTGATCAAGTTTTCCAACCATCGCGTGACATGCTGGGCGTTGCCGAGGGATCGTGCGTTATGATCTATCATGCGCTATCGATCCCATTCTTGGGGGTCCAAGGCGCTCCACTTCGGCCTGGTTCCCCGTCCAAAGGATCTAAAGGCCCTCTCGGGGCGCCGGTGCCAGCGATGAAACCCTCCAACTGGCGTGGAAATAGAAGCCCTCTGCGTGTAAAGGAACGAGACTTGACGTTGCCTGCCATCCATTCCCATGTCGGTGACTTTGAGTGCTGGGAAAACCCCTCACGGACGTGGCAAAACAATAACAAACCTCCAACGGCCAGTGACTGGGCCAGTGACCAAAACAGATTCCGCAGTAGCCATCGACTGCCGGAAGAACTGCCGGAACTACCGCCTCAATATCCTCAATGTGTTCCCCCAGCTTTCCTTCTGATGATGCCTCTGCACAGAACCCGAGGCCTGAGCCCTAAGCACCTCGCCACATCCGCTCGCTCTGGGCCGGCCCGACCGTTCCTTTCCTCTCGTTCCTGTGACTCCGACTGGAGGTCGCACTCACCGTCCTCCCAAGAGAGGTTCAGTGACCGTTTATAGGACCCGTCACCTGGCAAATTGGGATAGCCTATAGGGTTCTTCAACCTCTGTTGGTCCGGGTGGCCGGGACAACAACAACAACAACAACAAAGTACAAACAAAAACTGCAGCCCCGTTACAAGATATCTTGTTCCTTTGTCTCTACAAGGGGGTGGAACCAAAATCTGCAACCCCGCCGTTGTTATTTTGACCCCCCCTACCAGCCAACATGTACTCTTACCAGTAGTGGCAGTGCTTGTACTATTGCTAGTACTAGTGGTACTAGTACTAGTAGCAGTCGTTGTTGTAGTGGTCGTAGGAGTAGGAGTAGGAGTAGGAGTGGGAGTAGGAGCAGTAGTAGTAGTAGTAGTAGCAGGAGGAGGAGGAGTAGTAATAGTACTAATAGCAGTAGCAGCAGCAGCAGTAGTGGTAGTCCGGTCAGCTAAGCCTCTGTATAAAACTTCTACTTAGAACCTCCCTCTACCACATCCTAAAGGCAAAAACTGCAGCCCCGTTGTTGTTTTCTTGAACCCCCCCCTCAGAAGATGTTGTTGTCTGTACCCCCTAGAAACAAAATCTGCAGCCCCGTTGTTGTTTTTTGACCCCCCCCTCCAGAACAACATCCCAAAAACATCAAAAATCAAGAAACAGACCAACCAAGACTTGAGTACCACAACGACAAGAAGTCCAGCTACTAACATCTCTCCAAACCTTCGACCCTATCCCCAACAGTGCCCCTTTGAAATCCCTGACTTGCAACATGTGACAACTATGTTGGGCAGTTGCTTTTGTCTCTACCAACAACAACAACAACAACAAAAACGGTTAACAACAACAACAACAACACATCGGTCGCCTCGGCCGTGGGAGGGCGTGGAGGGTTTGTCTGTTCGTTTTGGTCTTTCCCCGTGAGGCGATTGCAAGGACGGCTCCGGCCGCTCGATCTTTCTTTATCATTTTTTGGGGGCCTACATGAACCGAATCCACCCAATGCATCCAATTGCGTGGCCACGTTGATACACGCAGACGTATACAATACTCAACCCTCTTCGACTCAAGTTCATTGATCTTCACCCTCGGCCGGCTGAACCATGCCAATAGGAAACCACTGGCGGCCAGGCGGGAGCGGATCCGCCCGGGCGCCTCCCCCGGAAAAACGAAGCTATAGCCCATAGCCCTGGTTGTTCGGCAAAACGCGTTATAGCCGGCCTGGTGCTTCGAAGCCTAGTAATGAATTGCAGCTAATTGCAGTAAGGATGAACTGAACAAACCTTCAGAATCTCTCTAATCAACCGCATTTCAGCGTTTCGTTTCGCAGGTTCTTGAAGAATCCTGAAGCAATTGGCCTCTCAATTCACAAGTAGGTGGTATTTTTTGCAGAATGATGCTGCTTAACAGGTGAGAAATAGGGGTAGATGGCACTCGCCACCTTTACAACCCCCTTGCCAGCACAAGTCTAGTTTTCATTGACAAAAGGTGGCATCTGGCCATGTCAAGTCCAATATCTGGCCATGTCAAGTCCAACATGTCAAGTCCAACTCGACCATCTCGCAGTATGCTTCCAACAGACTTCACCTTGCATCACCTTGGATCCTTCCCCTTCTTTCGTTCCCCCCCCACCGACTCTGACCGGCCCCAGTGCCTCGCCCCGCGTTCGCGCCCGCGGCTCCTGCTGCCGTCCGAGCCGTCAGTGAACTCGGGAATGTCGACCGCGCAGAAGGGCGGGTCCGGCTGCAGCGTCGGCGAGGTCGGGAGGTTCGTCCTCGGCGCATGCGGCGATGGCCCCGCTGGACGGACGCGAAGGAGTCCCGGAAGTGTTCTATGTTGTCATTGTTGTCTGGTTCCTAGGATGGCATATTGGAACACTTGTGCCAACAAAAAAACCTGTTCTTGCGATTGAACTTAAAGTGACATTCAACTACCCCACCCCCAAAAAATGTAATCCGGGCATGTTTGGTCACAGGCACCTGAAAGTCTATCACAGGCACCTGAAAGTCTGTCCCCTGAATCATCGCAACATGATTTGCAAAGGTTGCTGGTTGGGGACCTCTGCTTCACAGCCAGGACTGCAATCCTTAGCTGAAACGACTGACAACGCTCCACCATCACCCATAGAAGTCGAACCACCATTGTTTTAATATGTTTTAACGGCCTTTACCGAACCACCATTGTTGTACTAAGGGTTTTACGCGACAAAAACAGATCAACAATTTTGAGAATGGTCTTTGACTTCCACCATCACCACACCTCCCCGGATCTTTCCCAGATGCTTGATCCATCGTCACGGCTCGTCTTGGCTCGACTCAACGGTCTCTCAACCCTCCGAGGAGAACGAACGGATTTCCATCCGGTTCGGAGCTCCGTTTCGCCACCGAGCTCGGGAGATCGGCCCCAGCTCCAAGGCACGGGAAGAAGACCGCCTCGCGCTGGGAGTCGCGGTTCCCTCTCCGCGCGCCTGGGGGGATCAACGGTAGCCACCGTCGACGCGGTTCGGCGGATGCGGAGAGGCATGGGACGAGGCATGGGACGAGGCATGGGACGAGTGGTGAAGAGTTGGAAGTGGGGTGTTAGTAGTTTTTTGGGAACGTTGACCCGCATGTGGCATGTTGCCAAAGCATTCTCAGTAGTCTTGCATGATACTGCCTGGTCTTGACAGCTGGTAGCTGTTCCCATGTGTTCGACTCATGATTTTCTTGGTGAGGGCAACTACTCCCAGCATAGCCTATGTCATCTTCTGACCAACATTTCCCCCACTGGACCAATAAACCCTGGACCCACATGCATGGGTATAGCCTCCAAGGCTCGCGCCTTGCCACATCTTCCTTACATAATTTTTTTCAAATGCAATTCCTTCCAAACGCACCCCATACAGGGTCCCACCCGCACCCAGTCACTCCCACTCCCACTCCCTCGTGTAGAACCGCCCAGGAACTGGAAGCGGAGCCCAGCTCCCGGTCATGCGCTCGTAGGACTTGTTCCTGTTCACCCCGCGGAACTCGGACGACACCGAGATCCCCGGGCTCGGAGAGACAGAAAACGGCTCCGACCGACGGACCCATCGAGGCCTACAGAATCCATGCAGTCGGGGAAATGACACCGTGGTCGGAGACCAAGGAGGACATGATCCAGGAAAAAACATATTATTGTAAAAACAGATAAAAAAACAACAACAAAACATGGTATCCCACTTGGTGTCCTTTTTTCATGCAAAGTTCGGCACTATACGACATAGGGAACTATACGGAGCTATCAAACTTTCCAGCGCAGCTCATGGGGCAGGGGCATTCCAAAAGGTTCCATTTTCGTCCTCAATCTGGCGAAAATAAAACCCCGCAACAATAATGTTTCATTGAATTTCCAGTTGCTGTTCCTACAGCAGCATAGTGAGTGCAGACCAAACGGTTCATCCAGTCGTTCATCCATTTCAAATGTTTTCGGCAGGGCCTCCTGTAGCGCATGTGCTCAAGGGATCTGAAGGGACCAAGCATGGGGCCCACACGGTGCCTACGCAACACATAGGTTTTTCTTACGCGTTCCACCGGTGTTCTGACGCGGCATGTGGGGGGAAGTGGGCACTTATGCCACCTTACGCAGCCAGACTTCGCAATGTTTTTTGCGAATCCGCATGCTTACGCGGCGCGCTCTTAGCACCACTTGCAGAAGCATGCTTTCTTTCCCAAGTGGCACGGACTCACGCAAACGCACTTTCCACGAAGGCCGCGCGAAACCGATGGCACTGCGACATCACAAACAAAATTTGGCCGCACGGTGCGCAACAAACTAGACACAACAGTGCAAAACCAAGCCTCGTGGACACCGCCAGGACCTCTGTGGTGCCGGCATGCGAGCAGAGCGGAAATTTTGTTGAAGTGCATATTTCGCATATTTTCGGGCCACTGCAGTTGGCAAAAGGCTTTGGGTTTGGGAAGCATGTGGGCTACTCATGGACGGACATGAGGCTTACGCGCTGCCTACGCGGAGTTTTCGCACGCCTTACGCGGAAAATGCCCTGGCTCTCCTCGATCTTTGTGAGGTTCCTGTTTCCGTCTTCGCACCAGAAAAACGAAGACCGAGTACCAGTAAACACAACAAACCTCATCGACCAAAACTTTTCTCACATCAAATGCAAACTGCAAAACAACAGACCAAAAAAAACGCAAAATTATGCAACCTTGCGCACTGCAGTGTACTCCTTATGCACCCGGCTCTTATGACCAAACCCTCGGTCATTACAAGCCACTGGGTTTATGGCATGGCTCCAATGCTTGCCTAAACACTGACGAAACATGACGAAAACAAAAAACTGCACACACACACACAAACCATCACAAACCAAACAACGAAAAGCGTGTTTTCGCACTTCGCACCTTGAGGTGTGCCAAACTCTGGTCCAAGTGGTCCTCAAAGTATGCTCTGCGGCTGGTCCGTGGCTCGGAAGCCGGTATGACGCCTTGGGGCGGCGATCTGAGGTGAAGTGAAACGACGCCCCGGACGGTGGTTTCACTCGCGACCTGCATGGTGAAGTTCGTGATGCTTCCCCAACCACACGGGATAAAGGTGCATTGGTTGGGAACAACAAACAAATTTTTATACATGATTGGGGGGGCCATGTCCCTGTGGAAACGTCATAGTCGCCTTCCACCCCCGACACTGAAACAATTAACCGCACGTTGACATTTACACTTCCGAAAACTAACATAGACCCCTGACAATGGTCCCATGGAAGACTATTTACCTCTACCAACCAGGGGTTGTCAGGTTCCATGTTAGTCTTCCAGGGTGTATAGGGAATGTTGCAGCTAACAAGCAACATGACTAACCTGCTTAGCAGCCTGCACTTGGCACGTCGTGTGGTCTCAGCTGAATGCCGTACTTGGGGGGGACAACGGTGGCTCACAAGAAATGGAAAGCAACACCTTCGAGTTGCCATCAACGATCCGTCTTTGAGTTTTGGATTCCTGCTGCAAACAGAAAAATTGACGGGGGGGGGCCAAATGCCGGGATTCAAGTGTACGAATATGAAAGTGAATCTTCTTGAACCGTTTAGAATTTAAAATCATGTAAAATAATAAGTAATACGTAATGTGAATTTGTTTGAACCACATCCACAGCGTTATTCTCCAACACCCCCACCATCCCCCACCCCATTTTTCAGGAGTACGCTTTTGGAACTCAAAAGGCGCCTCCCCAAAGTGTCCGCTCTGATGTCACAGCTGGGCGGCTCAAATTGGCCACGTTCGCGAGGTTCCCAAGGGTGGGCGCTCTCTTGGGCCGCAGGTGGGTGCTGGACCGCGAGGACGATGGAGACGTTTCCATCATCATGGCGCCGCTGGGCAGCCGCCGCTTCGGCCGCTGGCCCGGCGGTTTGGCCCCGCGGGCGCGCTGCGGTGTGTGGAGCGGCTCTTTCGGACCCTGCCCACGTGGTAAACAGCGAGGTCGTATCGTTTCAATTGGCTGAGAAGTTGCATGTGTCGGTCTTGTTTGTTTTCCTCAGCGTTGTGAAACCGTAAAGGTTTAGTATGGTTTTCATATTCACGCCACACGGCGATGACCTCTACTTGTGGGCTAAGGTGGCTGAGGGCGATGTGAGGTTTTTGTTCCTGCGTGTCCTACCAGCGTCCAACTGCCAGCATCAATGGTCGCGGCGAATTCACCCAATCAAGAATGAAGGCACCCCGTACATGATAGACGTGACTATATACGTGTACTGAACCGTTTGTTGTTTTCTCACCCATGGCGAAGGTCATATCAAAAATGATCACGGGCTGCAGTAAATTCACAACGTCAAATTTGCCATCGTGAAGGTCCACTGCAGCTCTCTGTAGCCATGCTCAGCCCGCCCGCAAGCACCGCCATCTTTACATCTATATACATCTATCGTCATCTATCTGCGCATTTCCCGTGGTTTGATGCCGGAATCTGCTACCAAAGGCGGTGGGGATGTCCGCTACTATTTGACTGCCGGGTGTTGGATGATTGGATGGAAACCTGGTGCCGTGTTTCCCATCAGGGCATATCAGGGCTCTAATTTGCGTTTATTAGGGTCACGCTGGTCGCCTCAACCTGCCAGCACTCAAACGAAGGCTCTGGAATGTTTTTTTTTGTTTGCTTCTTGTGTGTGAGGGGGCGGCATGTTTTGGCCAAGGAATCGCTCATACGCCAACTGAGTGATTTGTTGGGTTTGTCACGTGCAATTTCGCAAGTACAGGGCTGTGGGTCGTAGTCGTGCAATGTCCTCAGGAACCACGCTAGAATTGGCACACGAGACTTTAAGTTTCGTTCCGGGGTAAACTCTGGGAACGCTGTTCCGCCATCTGCTACAAGTACCTCGGTGCTTCGCAAACCTTCATTCCGATGGTTCGAACTGAATTGGTGGAGAGTCAAGACGCTCTCCTCCTTCAATGTCGTCAAGGGACTGGAAATTTTTGGGGGCTGTCAACTTTACTCCACCAATTTCAATTAATTTAAAAAATTCTCCGCTGGCTCAACAAGTCGCACGCCGGGCTATGTAACGTGCACTTATTCGCCCACTGAAACGTTGAATGGAAAATTACACACTGAGGATGTTGACAAACAGAAGCGACACACAGGCCATGTCACCTTCAAAGGCAAGGGCCTTAAGCAGACAAGCTGCATCAAGCTGCCAAAAGGCGCAGGCAACTGGCAGCACAAAAAACTGCTGAAGATGAAACGTCTTCATCAATTTCATCAAGTTCATCGTCTGAGTCTTCTCACTCAGATTCCTTGCAGGAAAGTTTGGTGCGTAAACTGCGGCTGTGCGGAAATGCAAATTCAGGCATGACCTCCTGTTAAGCATAAGCAAAGCGTAAGCTCTTATAGAGGAAATCTGGCGCGTAAACAAAAACTGTGGTCGCGTAAGTGCAGCGTAAGCAATAGCGTAAGCAGACCGTTACGAGCAGGTTTTTATTCAGACCTTTTTGGTCCACGCTCATGTGCAGCTGGCGCGACGCTTGGTATGTTGCTTTTTTCAGATTGAAATTTGAGCTGCCTACGGCCGTGTAGTTTTCCCACCGCAGTCCCTTCCCAATGCCCCAACCGACGCCGACCGATGCCCACATTGAGCATGTTTGCGCTCATGGAAAGGCAGCCTTCCCACAATTTGCGCAACCATTATTGCAGTTGATTCGCGGCCTCATTGTTGGCGTGCCAAACTGTAGCGCATTTGATGCCACCAAGAAAGTTTGAAGCGCAGCCCAACCCTGCAAACCTGCACATTTTAGGCCATGTCTTGAGACTACATACGGGTTTTTGTCCAGCACGCGTATGGGCACAAATGTGGCTATGTGGTGTTGCTTGTACTCCGAATTTTATAGCAGGGAAGGCTGGCGTGTGAATGAGTTTGTTTGGATAGGCATTTTGTAGTGCTGCACATGCACTTCATAAAGGTTTGCTACGTTGGTCAAAAATTTTGATCACTGCAGCTATCCGCAGTTTATAGATGGCAACCCGTGTCTACACCAGGGTCGTTCACACCCCCGACTATTGCATTTAATCGTTATTTTTCGTTTTATTGCTTGGGTAGTCGAAGTTCAGACAGCAATGGCTCAACTTTTTCGGAGGCAGCTAAAGATGGTGCAGCGCTAGTGACACCTCCCACAATTTGGTGCCAATACTTGTTTGATCGATGTTTCTTTCATTCACCAGCGGTGTGTGTGTGTGTGTGCGCCAAAGGGGCCCCCATGTGAACACAACATCCCGACCAATTGCCAATGTTTCTTCTGTGCCATATGCTGGCGGCATCGTGGACTAGGATGCACGAGCGAAAGTTTTGTTTACGCACAGCTTACGCGCCGCTAACGCGCATGTTCGTGTACTTTCCGGCCAAAAAAACATTCAACGCAATAAGCTCGAGATGGAAAAACCAAATATATTTGCTAATCGCAGGAAAGCCTCTCACGGCCACAGAGATGCAAAGTCACTCACTCCAAGCTCTGGTTATTGCCAAGTGTCTAGTTCTGGAGGCTGACACTGAATAAAGCACAATGGTAGCAGCACCGAAAAACATCTACTACAAAGATGCAACACAATATGTTTACGCACTGCTTACGCACACTGAAGTGTCACCATAAGCTTTACACGGCTTTACGCAACTCACAGGTTTGCTTACGCACACTGCTCTTATGAGCAGGCCTTACTTACATATGCAAAAAAGTTTTAGACCATGCTCAAATGTATGCTGGCAGCGTGCTTCCTTAGTGGTTGGAACATCGAAAGGGCATCCGTAGACGGGTCGGCCCCCGTCAGCTACGCAGTTTTGATACAGGTGTCCAATCCGAAGACCACCCTGTGACGACTTTAGTGCGCACTAGGTTTTGTCCGACACTTATATGATCTTCTATGTGCAAGCATAACATCGCCAGTGGCTTTGCTGGTACAACTACCCGCAAAGTGGGCCAGTTTTTTGTGGCTGCTGCGTCAGCCTGTTGTCATGGCCTGTCGGCCCCTGACATGATCGAAATTAGAAAGTAAACGTAGGAAGCAGGACATGAGCGGCGGTAACATCACATACCAATATTTCGTTGCATGCACCACGTCAGTGCGCCAGCCTGTATTGAGAATATGTCACATGTCCGCAGCGTCGCCACGACACCCTGTCAGCGTAACAATGTAACAACACCATACAACACCCCAAACACAGCACGTCCACATGACATCAGGCTTGGACGTGGACGTGACAAGAACGACAAAACGATGCAAAATGGTTCACGATGTTCACTGTCGGCGCACCATGCAAAGCGTAGCAACCGCATGCAAAGCCACATTTCAACATGATGCTGTCCCAGCTTGACATGATGACATGCCAACGCTGCGCCATGACAATGTCAGAAACAGAATGTCAGAAAGACCGGCAAAACGGTTGCAGAACCTGCTCCGGAACGTGTTCCGGAACCAACTCTTGGACCTGCTCCTGTTCCAGAACCTCGGAAATTTGTTCAGGAACTCTGCTCCGAAGCCGTCAGTGTGGCTGAATGTTTCGCTGTTGGGCAAATAATCAGATTCAACCTTCGCAAAAGTTTTCGCGGCAGAGTTTTGCCGGATTTTGCGGGCAGTGACCAGCGTTTTAATTTCGCGAAAACATGCACAGACAGATTGCACAACTTGTCTCGTAGACGTGTTTGAAGCTAATCACGTGGAAGTGCCAGCGAGGTTGTGAACAAAGACTGGCCTCGAAATTAAGAGTAAAAATTGTTGCGAAAAACTTCGAACAAACATTTACGAGGAACTTTCATGACCTTGGTTTGTCTGCCAAAAGCTTGTCTACCAAAAAGTCAAGCGCATTGCCCAAATTCACCTCCAACATCGAGCATGTGAAACTCAAAAGCACCTGCGACACTTGGTTCACTTTCCCTCTTTGTTGTAGCTCCCGTCGCCTCCAACCAACCAAGCGAACGACCTGGTGAACAAAAAACGACCAAATGGATCTTTTCATATCTTTTCCCCTCAATCCCTGTAACATCCCCTAACAACCCCCCGAAGTTGAATTGAACGACCTCTGTATATCATAAGGCAGGCTTTTCATTGTTCTTTATGTTTACATATGTTTACGGCACAACGTGAGTTCATTCTGCCTGCCACGAGCCTCACGGAGGAGGGTTTCACACCGGGTGGGCGCTTGGCGCCGTGCGGCCGCGCGGCAAGGAGCAGCTACAAACGCAAACAAAGCCCTGAGAGTCTGTTTCAGGCCATTTCTTTAAATAGTCCGATGTCGTATCAGCTGATTTCCAACACTCCCCTTTACGACCTGGTGTAGCCGACCTGGACTTCCAAACTCAGAGGAATGGCATGGCAAGTTCCTCGTTTTGACCACCCTCAGCATCAGAACTTTGGACCCATCAAAGCCAGCTCGTGGACCTGGTTAAAGCAACCTGAGAATCCATGCTGCCGCTGCTGGCTGTTCGCGAGTGAATTCAAATTGGACTGGCCATATAAAGCCGCAGCAAGGTCAGCAGCACTTCGCGGCAGATAGATGAGTCCATGACCCAGGAGACCACGCGTCGTGGGGTAGGGGACCAGGAGACAGCTGTCACCCACAAGACAGGCCAGATGGGACCAGCAAGCCTTGAATTTTAGGCGATGGACAATGGACAGCATCCAAGAGCCGTGAGAGCAGAAAGCATCCTGTGGAGTGGCCACACATGGCCACACCAGTCCAAGGAAGCCAAAAGCCCTGGTCCTTGACTTCTTGACCTCATTGCGTACCGATGTTGCATGAAGTTCTAGTGCAATCAGGTCCAGAAAGACCTGGAAGAAAGGCCATTTGGATCGACACACGTGGCTTGCTTCGACGCGAATTTTGGCACCTCGACCGTGTGTACACGGAACCCCCGTGGTTCCTTTCGGGGTGTGACAGTGAGGGTTCTTTGCCAGCCCAGGAAATGGGCAACCTTGGAGCCATCTGAAGCCGTCGATTCTTTCACCGAACACCGAGAGAATTCAGAAATCACAGCTCCAGTGCATCCGAACGCCAAGCCGGCACCCAAAAGCAGCCACGCCACGCCACGCCGCTTCGGCCCATGCGACTCGGTCGCCCGTGCTTTTCTCGCTCCGTCCGCCGCCGAGCGCGACTCGGTCGTTGCAGGGTCTGGGGGGGGGAGCCCCAGAGCCACATGAGCCACGAGGACCGAGGCCTTGCGGGGAAAGCGCCCCGCACCATGCTGGACCAGGCAGGGGGGATCCGTCCGCGGGCAAGGGCCCTGTTCTTCTCTGACGTGGAACGTGACGTTCACGAGACGTGCGCGCGCGCGCGCGCGGATGAAGCGAGGTCCGGTGCTGGAGGGTCGGGCGCCAACCACTCAGTGCAGTGCTCCAAACCAGCTGCGAAGGCTCCTTTTTGGGGCTCCCGCCGTGGCCGCGCATCGAAGAAATCTTTATCTCAACAGATTCAGTCGCCCAGCCGAGTTCAGCCGCCAAGGTATTGTTTCTTTCACTCGACTCAAAAAGGCCCAAGTCAGGTGCGTTTGGTGGTTTGGGAGACTGATTCGTCACAGGAAACAAATCATACCAGGACCCACAAGGGGTGGTTGATGGACACCCCTTAACCTGTAAGGAGCTATCAATAGAAACCCCCTAAGGTGGCCTGGTAGCGGTTTTTCTTCCAAGGAACACATGGCCAAACATCTCCAAATTATGATGTTGTTTTCTTGCGCTACACCTGGGCGTGGAGCTATTCTAGCATTTGTCTCTCGTAGAGTTTGCCTTTACCACGAGTCGAGGTACCAGGTGGATCAGGGTCACCCCATCCTTGTTCTTCACCATATCCATGTCACCCCATGTGCCCCTCACATGTGTCTAAAAAGGCCGCTCTCACCCACGGGCGTTGTTCTCCCCTTGAATAGCGGCACGTGTGCCGTTCTCCAGCCAGTTAGCTTCAAGTAAGAGTCCTCAAGAAAGGCCAGTCGTGACCATGAAACACAACCAGTTGTTTCGGGTTTGGCACACCGATCAACCTGCTATAGGCAGCCTAGATAATCAAGGGGTGACAAATGATGTTGTTGCCGTGGGAGTCCAAGACTATCTCCAAAATCAAAATGGTCGTTAGGTGAAGCAGGAATTTCCTCTATTTTGGTGGTGCCAAAATTCTAAGCATGCATTACCCTTGGCCGGTATAAGTATGATCGCCTAGCTCTGCACCCACTCCCTCAAAAACCACTTCAATTCGACACCGACTTGGATCACTTCCCCAGGCTGGGGTCGGAGTGCCATGGAACAATCAACCCATAGGGGTGAACTCCTGATTTTGCCTCAAAGTGGATTCCTTGTACGCCTTGTATCTATCCCTAAACGAGATGACCATGTTCGCTTTGATCGAACAGTGAAGATATCTCATCCTGAAAGACCAGCAGAGGTGGGTCAGAACCCTAGTTCGACTATCCTATAGGTACTCCTGTGGGGTCCTAGTTCAGGTCACTTAACCTCTGCAGGGACCTATGCCTCACTTGATTCCAATTTCAGCACTACCAGACACTCTTTCGGGCACCTCGCTGGTCACCTTAAACCCTCAAAAAGGCGCCGGGCCTACTGGCAAAAAAAAAGCCACCTACAAGCCCGCATACTTCTTCATCAAATCCGTCACTTTGGTGAAGTACGCCTCACGAAGACATCCCGAAGACCCCGCAACACGAAGACCCCGCAAGACCACGACTCGCAGGGGACAGGGTTGGGCAGCCTTCTGGGTTAAACTGTTTAAACTAAGGCCCGGGTTAAACGCATGTTTAAACTACAGAGTGCATGTATGTTTAAACCCAGGGCCTGGGGTTCTACCTTGGCTCAAATCACATGATGTTTCTGTTCAACTGAGGCTTTGCCACAAGTGGCATTTGGGCCAGAAGTTGTGAGGTGGGGTTCATTGCTGGTTTGCTTGGTGGTTAGGCGCGGTTTGGACATAAAAACGAAAAACGAGGTCACACTTCATTGTCACTTCCTGTGGATGTGTGTTTTTTGCGGCAAATTGTTGTGGATGGAATCACTGGACACATTCTCTTAAAATCTGTGCTGATGGAAGGTCGTCCCACATCTCAAACTGGCTCTCCCAAAAGGACAGCAGTCCAAAAAGTTGTCTAATCCCTGGAAGTCCAAAGCCTATACTTTCCCTCAGTCAAGTAAAAGGAAATTCCCTTTCAGATCCCATAAAGACCATTCTTTGTATAGTCTTTGACTCGCAGGGTGATTACACTCTTTTCCATGACTTGTAGACCCATTCCAACCTTCCTGGTTCCAAGCCACATTCATTGCATTCTACTTCGTTCAAAGTCGTGCACAGGCGCTCTCAAAGCATGTTTCACATCCTTCTGCTATCTTCTGCAGAAACGAGCGAATGGCAGTTTCACAAACCTTTTGAGGTTCCTTCCTTCACTGCTCTAAGCTAGGCCAGTAAGAGCTCAGCTTTCAGCTTTCACATATGTTCATATGTCGTGCTAGGCTTCTCGAACTTTCTGTTCAGCTTCCACGTATTGGCCACCCCCCCCATCAATATTCTGTTCCAGAATGATGTTTCTACAGACCTAGAACATGCAGAACTCAACGCCTTCCTGGATCCTTCCTTCCTCCCTCCATCGGGCACTTCTTCACGGATGCAAACTGACCTTCACTTCAACACCCCCCTTCCACCCTTCCACAACTCGTGAACACAGCGTCCTCAGTGTCCCACCGGTCTCTTTCGATGTCCATCGTCCACCGGTCGTGCTGCAGAGATGTGGTTCAATAGATCCCAAACACTCCATTACAATATACCTGGACCCTGGGAGTCAAAGACTATAAAAAGAATGGTCTTTAGGTGACCCGTCTCTGCTACTATCCTTTACTTCAGTCGGTCAAAATATAGTCTTTGGACTTTTAGGGTGGATCTTCCAACTGTGGGAGAAGGGATTGACCTGGTTCTTCAAGTGACCTAACTTGATCCCCCACTGTCAAGTTGGTCACAAACAGGCCTGGAAAAGGTCACCGGATGGGACCTCCAAAAAAAGGTCACGTACTGAAGATGCTGGCAGGTAAACATTCCATACCAGCACCCTCCTGGCCAGGCTGTTAGTTGAGGGTTGTTGGACCCTGTCTCAGGTCGAACCATTGGTGACCTGTCGGAGGGTCCTGGTATACTATTAATGTATATCAAATTCATATTAAATGCATGCCTCCCCAGCCAGTCACATGGACAATTCTTCAAAAGGCTTTCCGTGTGCACACCAATTTGTCCTGAGGGGCATACCAAGTCTATCCAAGTCTTTCCATTCTTCAGAAGGAATCCTTGAGCCTGTAGAACTTGAAGCTTCACTTTCCTTCAGCTTTCCCAAAACTCTGCCCCGTCCCCCCTCCAAATCAGTCTGCAGCCTGCCAGCCTGCCCCAAACTGGTTCAGGCCCCCAACAACTCCACCCACCCCGGAGGTCGAATCCGTTGGTCGAATCCGTGGGTCGAATCCGTGGGTCGGATCTCCGCCGGATTTCCAAGATCTCCCAGCCAATGAGTTGGATTTGAGGAACATCAGGAAACCCTGGTTTCCAACCCCCAATGTCCTTTGAATTCCTTTGGGTTTCCTGTAGACGTTCCACTTGAACCAACGTTGAGCCCCGGCCTTCTTGAGCTCCGCCTGGTAGAAGGCCGTCAAGTGCCCCGTGTCCTGGCGTCTCGTCTCGTTGCTCTTCCGGTCACCGGGGCGCCAGTTCGACCAGGGCGACCAGTTCGACCGGGTTCTGCAGGTTCCATGGAGGTCCCTGAGAACGTTTTGCTATACTGTGCAGGTATACCAGGCGCCCCCCTTTTCGTATGAAAGGGGTGGCCGAATTTGCTTACTCGTTGAGATCGTGGAGGGTTCTTGGGGAAAATACCCCAAAACCACGGCCCCCCTTTGCAGGGTGTCTCATGTCATTTATTGCTCCGTAGGGGTGGAGCGGGTCTCGAAGGGGTCTCGACGAATCACCCCGTCGAGGGGTTTCCCCGCGACTGGCCCGAGAGGCGGGTCATCCGACCTCGCCCGAACCGGAGGAGTCTTCACACCCACAATGATGCACAATGACCGGGTCGTAACCATTTTAAACATCGCTATGTACATTGAGCTCCTCCACCTGGCCCCCACAACGGTGCCGTGAAAGGGGGGGGAGTTGTTAGCTGTGGATGATTATGGTTAGGTTGCAGGCCTTGTCCAAAAATGATGATTTGCTTGGTTACTGACTGCTACAGGTAAGTTCGGACAGACCCTAGGTATATATAGTTATACATTGGCCGTATTCTGCAGTGGATGGGTGTCCCAAACGATTCTCCGACCCAAATGGTTATCTAACCGTGCCACCCTAACCTAGCAAGCAGCTAGCTTACGAGCTTACGTCGTGCGATGAAATCCATTCAACTCGGGAACTCACCACCCTTCCCTCCATCCAAAGACACCCCCTGCCACCATGCGGATGACATAGAGAAATTGTTAAAACATAGAAGGAAAACATCCGTCCCGAGACAACATAGAACAACTCTTTTCGTCGACTTTGGAAAAGGAACCACCAGGACGGTATACTCTGTTACTATAGAAGGTCGCCAATGCTTCGACCATCTTCCACCCATGGCTGCGACAGTCAGGCTGCGACAGTCAAGAGGTTTTTCTGTTGTTTTTCTTCCTCTGACTCTGAGGCTGCTGGAGGCGACTTCCTCTTGCCCAGATCTGCCCAGGTTGGGTTGGGAGGATGGTTTTTATGTTTTTCTGGAGATTCTTTCTTCCTCTGCCCCAACGCGACTTCCTCTGCTCAAACCAGATGCGCCTTCAACACCTGGTAGTCGAACTCGGAGGACGTCCAATCTTTCCAGGCCTCGCCACCGCGAAAAAACGGGCAGAACGAAGTAGGCAGGAAAAGCACCGGTCCGGTCTATGCCAAAATGTCCGCCGACCTTGGCAATCTGTTTTCTAAGTGGATGAACAGGGGCCAAAACCATATGTCATATGAGCCATACCTGGATCTGACCTGTCCAAATTCAGGCAGACATTTGACACTGTAAGATCCAGGTCGGTGACTGTGTGTTTCTTTGTCAGGTCATCCTATAGAGAACTATAGAATATACTATAGACATGAGCTCATGTTGCTTTTCTTGACTGTTGATCTTTCGACAGAGACTCCAGCCGCTTGGAATAGATCTTGAACAAATAAACTGGGCTCGCCTCCTGACCCCATCACAATTACCCCAAAACAGGCCACCAAACCACCCACACTCTGACATTGGTTTGCTGTTAACTCAGTTGCCAAGTCAAAGAAAGGTGGTGGAACAGAAAGGCGAAGATTGAACAAAGTGGTTTCACACTTGACTGCGGAAACTAGTTACTGCATTAGCCCTTTACTGCAAGAACGGTAAGGTGCAAGGGTCCGAAGAAAAGAACTGTTTAACAAGCGCACTAGCATTTTACCACAGCTAAGGAAACCTGTTTTGGGGGATATCATGCGAACAACCATCATGGAAACAACAAAAGGAAAAGTGGAGTCACAGCGTGTGCAAAAGTTTTCATCCGCGCAGGTACAGAAGTTTGCGTCCAAACTTCCATCCAGTCGATTTCCCTAGCTTCGTTGGCGTGACGGAAATCGACCGTCACGCCCCCTGCGACTTAAAAGTTGAGAAAGACAGAGTTCAGAGGTGGACACGCACAGAACGCCGATATCGGCCCTCTGGCGAACTAACTAATCACCTAAAAAGCCTTAGAACGAAAGGAAAGAAAGACAGAAAGGAAAACGCAAAGGAAAGAGAGAAAGATAGGTGTAGTGACAAGGCCACTAGTTACGAAACCTGCTAGTTACTGACTACTTAGCCGCATGAATTAAATTCACTAGTTAGCGAGCGGGACATACGTCTTAAACCGCCCGGGTAGCTAGGAGTAGAAAAGGAGAAACAGAAGGAAAGGTACCGACACACAAGTGTGTCAAGTACCATTTCCTTCTGTTACCCTAGATAGCGGGTGGGATAGAAACACGAATTAGGTTGCAAGGTGGGGGGGGGTGTGGAAGTGCAAGTGTGGACAGACACAAGGAACCGTAACGTGTCCGATCTCAAAGTGGTCGTGGTTGGAAATGTGAGACAGTACATCTTGAAAGTGAAATCAAGCTGCAAACATGAACGTGAATCTGGTCAAAGAGAGTGGAATTGCCGTGAAGCCCGGCGGAAAAAGTTGCAGGGAATACAGTGGTGAAACTAAATCCGTTCAGAGAATCCAAGGTCTGGAGGAGACGGTCGAAGCAGTTACACGAGTTCCGGAATGAAAACGGCGCCTCCTTGCGGAGGATTACACCCAGCACCCAAGGGGTGAAGGATCAAAAAAAAAATTGATAGGGATCAAAAAAAATTGTTTGAGGAGATCATTTTAAAAATAATTTAGATCAAAAAAAATATTACAGTAGTAGTGGTAGTAGTAGTAGTAGTAGTAGTAGCAGTCGTAGTAGTACTAGTAGTAGTGGTAGTAGTAGTAGTAGTAGTAGCAGTAGTAGTAGTAGTCGTAGTAGTAGTAGGAGTAGTAGTAGTAGTGGTGGTGGTGGTGGTGGTGGTAGAAGTAGAAGTAGAAGTATGGGTAGAAGT